AACACTAGGAAAAGCATGGAGAGGTGCTGTGAAGGAGGAGCAAAAATAACTCACAGTGAAGGCAAAAAGGAGATTGCAACAGACTACTAAAATTCTGGGGATTTCTGTGCTAAAGATGAGGAAAACAGCCTTCCACTGCTGTGGGTTTGCCCATCCTGCCCCGGCTCGGCAAGCCCCTACCTCGCAGTAGGAGCCAGCGGGGCAGGTCTCCGTGCGGTTGGCGAGCGCTCCGTCCTGATAGCAGCGCTCCGCGTAGCACTGGAAGCTCTGGCAGCGGAGCTGCACGGAGAGCGGGCGGGAGCTGCCGGGAGAGCCGGCCCCGCGGCGCATCCCGCGCCCCCGGGAGCGGCTCCCGTGGGATCCCAGCTGCCACAGGGGATCCAGCACCTTTCCCGAGGGGTTGCAACAGTCGGAGCAACAGCCCCCTTCCTCACCGGTGTTTCATCTGTGCCGTTCACCCAGGAGTCGGGGTCTGTGGAGGAATTGGAGGCCATGGAGTAGTTGGAGGCTGCGGAGTAGTTGAAGGCCATGGAGGAGTTGGAGGCCGTGGAGAAGTTGGAGGCCAAGGAGGAGTTGGAGACCATGGAGCTGTTGTAGGTACCATCAGCCTCTGGAAGATCCAAAGTACCCGCACAGTGAAGGCAGCCCTCAGCAAGCCCTGTACCCTCCTGAGCCATGGCACAGTGCGAAGGGATTTGCAGGAAGCACCAGCCACGTTGAGGCTGGACTACGGAAGGCATCGAGCAAAGGATGTCCCAGGCAGGTCGGAAGGGTTCCTGCAGGACCCTGGCAGGTGAACAGAGAGCCCAAAGGCAGGGCGGAGGCCACGGCGCGGCGATGCCTGCGGCAGCGCCCCGAGCTTTATTACAGCTTCTCCCTTTTGCTGAGCCCTTTGCTGAGGTCTGAGCCACGCGGAAGGGCTCCCAGCGCAGCCCTGCCCGCAGAGCACGGCCTGGCTGCTCCCTGCTGGTTTTGCCCCGGGTTTTGCTGGTCTCCCAGGGCTCGGCGCTCACCTGCGGCAGCGCCGGGGCGCTGGGTGCAGAGGTGCAGAGCCGAGATGCAGAGCAGCAGCCCTGCAACAGAGGAGAGCCCCAAGTCGGCCCCCCTGCTCTGCCCCGAGCCCGGGAGCCCCCGCGGCAGCAGGGCCGGCCCGGGGGCAGCGGCAGCCCCTGCCCCTCTGGCACTCGTGCCCTGGGGGAGGCAGGGGACAATCCCACCCACAGACCCGCACTGGGGAGACCTGCGGCCTCGCCCCGGGCAGCGCAGACCCTGCCCAGCAGCACCCCCCGCTCCAGGGAGGCCTCGGGCCCTGCGGGACGGCTCCAGCCCGGCCGGGAAAGCCCAGCTTTCCCTCTGGGAGCAGAACCGCCCTTACCGTGGATGGGGAGGATGAGGTGCCCGCAACCTGCCATCCTCAGCGAGCTGCGCCGGTCGGACCTGGCAGAGAGGCACGGTTAGAGGGCCGCTCCGTGTCCTTCTCCGTGTCTGGGAGCTGCGGAGGGCACCTCCTGCACGGTGCCAGCTCCTGGCACCTCAACACGCTGCCCATCCACCACATGGGGCAGAGGCTCCTGGGAGAGGCTCCCTGGCCCTGGGACTGCAGTAGGAGCACCCACCTCCCACCCGGAGCTGCAGGGCTCGGGCTGCAGCTGCGCCCGGGCGGCAGGGCCGTGCTGAGGGTGCCCACACAGCGGCTCCTGCAGCGCAGCTCCGTCGTGCAGCACGCAGAGCACGGCTGCCGAGCGGGAGCGCCCTGTCCTGCACGCGGGACCCCCGGCTGCAGCCGTGGCCGAGGCCGGCAGCTCCCTGCAGAGCAGGGCTCCGAGCGCCTCCGCGGGAGGCTGCACAGCCTGGATCCTCGTGGCACAGGCTGGATCCTTGCAGCACGGGCTGGATCCTCGTGGCACGGGCTCGTGTCCCTGCTGCTCCGGGCAGCGATCCAGGCGGCTCTGCAGCCACCCAGGGCAGGGTGCAGGGAGCAGCCCCTGCCGAGGGGCACCCGGCCCGTCCTCGCTGGGCGCACATGGGCGCACAGGGGAGGTCTCCAGCCTCCGAGCCGGAGCGCTGTGCACGGAGCCACGCGGCCCCTTCCCGTGACGCTGCCCCAGCTGCCGGGGCTGCCCAGCAACCTGCCGGGGGGCCCCGCGGGCCCCAGCTCCGCGGGGAAGCCACGCGCTCCTGGTTGGTGTGACAACCCTCCCCTGGGTCCTCCCGGGTGACGCGCACAGCTGCAAACAGGGGCCGGGGCACCAGCGCCCGCGCTGCACGGCAGCTGCTGCCATTGCACATGAAGAGAAGCCCCCCGGACTGCACTGCCAGTGTGGGGGGGACCCTTCCCCATCACTGCGTGGCACCTCAGAGCTTGGGGTGGCAGCAGAGATGCTGCCCAGCAGCTCTTCTTACTGTGGATTCATAAAGTCTTGCATGAAAAATGCCCATTTCCACACATGCTTCTGCTAGAGGCCCTAAGGACTTGGCAAGGAGCACCTCAGCCCTATTAGTCCTGGCACACAACTCATGCAGAACATAAACATTTACACCTGAAGCTGCCTTTCCTAGCGAGAGGTGGAAGTGTTCTGGATGATAAAGAGCTGTTCGGCTGCCAGCACTCAGGTAGTTCTGATTAACCCACAATTAAGAGCCACATCCCTCTCACCTTTCCCTGCCCGTCGCTGTGTGCCAGCGCCTTGGCCTGGGACGGTGGCACCGGCCCCGCTCTCACACCCGCTGGGTGTCCCTGGCTGCAGCAGCTCCGTGTGGGAGCGAGCACAGACACGAGGTGGCCCCGCTGGGAGAGCGGCCCGGGGCTGCAGCCGGGCGGTCGCCCCAGCACCGCTGCACCCAGGGCGGGCGCAGGAGCCGCTGCTCCGTCGCCGCACGCACAACGGGCTGGTGCCAGCTGGACGTGTGAGGCCTCAGGCTGGAGCAAGTTCAACACACAGATGTTCTGCTCCAGAGCTCGCATGTATTCCACACTGTCCAGACCCAAAGCTCCTCAGTACTTGGGCCCTGGCCCCCAAGGTTTGGGAAGTTCCAGCCTTTCTGTCTCTTCCCACAGCTCCCAGCACTCTGTAAATCTTGGTGTTCATTCACAACGAACACATCTCCGCCCGTTGAGCTAGGGAAACAACCCTGAAGCCCTGACTCCAAGGGAGGCCCAAGTTCTCCAGCTGTTCCTGCTCCGTGCAAGCAAGAGAGGAGCTGAAGCCATCGGTTGCCCCTGCCGCTCCAGTGCTCAGCGTGCCCTGCTCCCGCAGGCAGCACCAGACGCAGCCTCTCCCAAGCAGAGCAGGGCAAGGAGGCCGCCCTGGGCTGGGACTCACCGGGTGCCTGCTCGGCGTCGCCCGCTGCCGCGGCCAGGGCCTCCAGCTGCTGCTCGGGCTGGTGTCTGTGCGGCGCCGGCTCCTGCCTCGGTGCCTCCGCGCAGCTCCTCCCCTGCCAACCAGGGCACCAGGGAGGGCTGCCTGGCACCCGCTGCGGTCACACGCAAACAGCCCTGCAGACAAGAGGATGTCTTTCTCTCTAGCTGGTCCACATCCTAGTGGAAATCATCTTCATGAAGACAAGACCGAGCTGGAACAGCCGCCGTATGAAGGGCCTTTCACACCTGCTGTCTGTTCCACCTCCAAAGGGTCCCATGATTGAACAGCTCCAGTGCTGTGGGACAACTTGGACCATTAGTCATTTTAAGCACAAAAATTCCATGTGCGCTTTAAAATAAGGACAAGGCCCACCATAAAAATTTATATCAAAGTTGGAATAGGATGAATAGGATAAAAGCTTGTAAAAGCTTTTCAAAAATACCACAACCAAGTTAATCCCTTCCCTCCAACATACAAAAGGAGACAAATTTCTCTGCGTTTTCTAAATTAAAATCAGTTTATTTTCAGCATTTTTTAATATAAAATAACAGAAGTTTTAAACTATCACAAGTATGCTTTTCACAAGGGGCTTACTAGAAAGTAATTCTATAAAGTATCCTTGAAATCTAGATTCATGCAAAATAGAAAATACAGAAAATGAAGTCAGAGCTGTTGATGCGTCTCCATTTGATTTTCAGATACGAAATCCTTTGCCTGGGAAAAGTTACAGCAGCCCTTGACGCTTCAGGTCTTCATAGGTCTTTTTATTCACCACATTCCCACTGGAATCCTCATATTCCTCCTAGAATGGAATGAACAGTTCAGAGGTGTCATCCCCAGCCAGGTTCAGGTTATATCACAGCATTTGAATTTTAGCTCCAGCAACTTCTCCTCAGCAAGACCTCCCACCAGAACCCATCTATATTCCTAAGTATACAGCAAATTATCAGCAGGCTGCACAAAAGGAGCTAATCCTATCAGTTAAGGGTGGTACAAGAGCACAAAACACACTTCCGTACCCACCACAGCTTATCCAGACTGTGGATTAAAATATGAACAATCATTCGATAAATTACAGGCTATATTTATCCCTGCACTCCAGAGCCATCTGTTAGCCAGTCCCCTCTGTACTGCTGAATCAGGTTTTGAGTGAAAAGCTTAAGAAAAGGCACTAGAAGAAGTGAACATCTCTCAGAATAAACAGGTCCTCTTCCTTCTCACAAGGCAAAGAGGACTGACAGAGGAAAGTCTTGAAAGACACTTACACAGTCCGCCCTCTTGAACCACTTTCCAGGGCTTGAAGAAGAGCTTTTCAAGCACCACCACTAAGAGGAGCTGTGCACGCGGCAGTGCAGGCTCCTGCTTAGCTCTCCAGCATGCACAGGATTCTTTCAGAGAGATTCCTTTGCCAGACCCAGACAGTTCATGCCGGGTAAGAGGGGCTGCCCCAGTGCCTGGGACTAGAAACATCCAAATTCTTCTACAAACATCTCACCTCTGTATCTGGCTGCCATCTCTCTGAAGCCTTCTGTTGTTTCAGCTTTGCCCACACTGTAAATACAAAGTCATACAGGATCTAAAGGCCATTTCCCTCAAGACGTCAGGACAGATTGACTGTGTCAAATCCAAATCACCACAAGTACTAAGTCCTGTAGGCTCCAAAATTCTCCCTATAGGTTCTATCCTTTCTGAATGTTTTTCCAGCTTACCCAGGAAGATAGATGGTGATGGACACACCAACTAAGTTGTAGACATTGGAGGACAACGCAGCCACCCTTTGTCTGAAGAAATCCTGTCCATTACGCTTGGCTGAGATTCCATACGTGAAATATCACAGGTAAAATACTTGGCAGTGAATAAACACTGCCAGCAGTTCTAACAAGCATCTGCTCATAAAAGTATCCAAGGAGAAACAAGCCATTCCCTTGAAAAAGCAGAAAGGGATGATCTAAGAAAGGATCATCTCCCACATATCCTGTTTCTGACACTCCTTTACAGAGTTAATCTCTGCTCGTGGAAGTAAAACGAATTTTTGGTCAGAGCTCATAAGGCCATTTTTATGCCACACGTTCCCTGTTCTGTGCAAAGAAAAGCCTTGTTGCTTACATGAGACAGCATCCTCGATCTGTGTGACATTGGCAAAGTGAGCAGTGTTGGGAATGCCCAGGCATCTCATTCCATGCGCGTGTCGCCATTCCTAAGAGGTGGGGAAAGCGGTCAGTAGTGTGAGAGGGAAGCCCACTTCATCCACAGAAACTAACCAGATGTATTGAAATCTGGATAGGATACAAAATACACTCCTGGATCAAAATACACAGATCTACTGGTCCTAAAAGGTTCTATAAAAACACAGAATCTATATTTTTCTGTGTTTTAGACAGCAACAATACACTGGCAGCCAGTGGGTGCCACGCACCAATGTCAGGCACTGGAATCAGAGTTCAAACAAGAGGGGACCCCACAGGAGCTGGCAGAACAGATCTTAGGATAATCCACAGCCCCAACAGCAGGGCCCTCTGTCTTCAGCCCAGACCCATGTTTTCAAACAGAGGTAAAAGTGCCACTCAGACACTTATTACTTTCTATCAAGACTATTTGAAAGGAGTAGTGATGCTTCTGCAGCAAGAGCTCACTTACTGCAAAGTGACGCTGGAAAGCCTTGGGACCTCGGTACGTGTAGTTACCACAAATCTCACAATTGTAGTTGATGTTCAAACCATGTAATTTATACAACCAGTAAGGGATTGGCTGTCAATGAGAAAGGAACACAGATTATAGCAAAGAGCAAACAGGTTCCAAGTGAACAACAGTGTGGATTCACTGAAATACCCTCCCACTCCTTGAGTGCAGTCCACCTCAGTTACCTTGCCATCCCAACCAAGAGGCAAATTTTTAGGATTATAAATTATTTCATTTTCTTCATCTTCACTCTCACTCTCACTGATCTGCTCTTCCTCCTCCTCCTCTCTCTCTTCTCCTGTCCGTGCTTGCTTACGCTGCACATTCTCATGAGTAAGGTGTCTCTGTTCCTAGAATGCAAGAAAAGAGATGTTCACACAATGTGAGAGCAACAAAACCAAGCGCAAACTCTTGCAGCACAAACACTTCCTCAATGTAGAGAGGCCAGAAATGAAAAAACAGTTTGAAAAAAGAGAACTCTCCTTTTCACTTAGCCCAACAATCTAAGAGATTTTAGTACAGTATTTCATAATTCAAGAGAATGAAAGATAAAAAAGGCTTCCCTGCTGGAACTGTAGCCTTCATAACTGGAACTGCAGTAAATGCAAAAGCTTTCTGAATAATTAGCTATTAGAAACACAAATTTAAGTCAACAGATTCTACTTATTAATGGGAAAAAAAAAACCCAACCAAACAAAGCTATCTGTCACTAAGAGCTCTTGAACATTATGACTCTGGATGTTTATATATCTCTTCTACATACACAAAGATGTGAATGGCCTTCCAGTCACTACCCAACAGCTCTGTAGCAAAAAGGAAAAAAAAAAAATCCTTACCCCAAGCACTTCTACATATTCATATATCTGAGCTTCCAGGAATGCAAGATCTTTATTTCTTTCAGTATCTCTGAAAACAGAGAAGGAAAAATTATGAAATCCACTCCAAAACCGCAAAACCACGTGCACACTGGCCTCCTAAGGACACATTTGACTTTGAGACAGAAAAACAAGAGAAAAAAAAAAAAACACAGAAACAAATACCAAACAGTTCATACAAACAACACTGCACATACACAAGCCATTCAAGTCAAATATCTTCTATTTCGCTCAGGAATCATTTGGCCCAACATGAAAGGCTTTTTATGCTTCAGGAATGTCTCTGTCATAACTCTAAGAACTGATGTTTATAGAGTAACTTCTCATCCAAGTGAGGGGAACGATTGCAACCTGAGACTGACCTTAAAGAACTCACCTTTTGCTTCCTTTTGTCTTGGGATTCTTGGCAAACAAGGAAGGATCAAGTGCCTCCAGGGATTTGCCTTTAGTGCTAAAAAGCCTCTGAGCGCGCTCTTCCAGGGTCCTACAGAACAGCAGAGAGCAGGTGAGTCTAGAACACAGATTCATGTCAAAAGAGCCATTTGAATTCCTGCAGCAAAACTGGAAAGTGAGCTTTTAAAGGTCATACATCTCATATGAAAACCACCGAGAACCATTCAGGATGTTCCCTGTTAAGGAGTCTGATTTGATGACAAACATCTCTGTTTTCACTCTTTAGGCCAAATTCTTCTACAGAAGACACTCCAGTACATAGTGTGCTTCAAGGCACAGTACTCTTGTGAGCGGTCTTCAGTGTCTTGTCTTTAGAAATATCATTAAAATTATTCTTGTACAACAGAGAAGATGCAATAAGTATGTCGTAAAAGGAATGTAAGACAGAAAGAGAAAAAAAAAAAAAAGAAACCAGAAAAGAACTATAAAAGGACTGTATCTTACCCGCCACATTTCAGACCCAGGGCCAACAAAGCTGACTTTAACCTGTCCAGTCCCAGGGAGGCCAATTCCTGTTTAGTTAAAAAAAAAATCTCAGTAACGAGCAGCTATTAAGCAAATGCAGTGTGGATTTACATTACTTTTAAGTCATTAAAGAAAACTAACAGCATTCACCACGAGGGACTCCTCCCTCTCACTGAAATGCAATCTGTGACCAGTCTACCTAGAGATTTCACGTTACATCCCTTCTAATGCAAGAAAGGAAATCAGCTGCACAAGCCAAGTCTTATTTAGAGCACAGAACCAGAGACGTAATCCCAGCAATGGGAAATTTCTGGAAACACAGAAAGTGATCAAGTTTCAACCATCCATGATTTAGGACTACATGCAGAGTACTGAAAACTTACCTCCCAAGAGGAAAACGCTGAGAGATCCAGGTGGGCTCCAGCATGAGTGAGCGCACTGCTGGTCTCTTTCTGCCAAGAAAAGCCACATACAAGATCTCTGAGATATGATGTAACACTTGGACAAGATAATACTCTAAAAGAAAAGCAATTCAATTTGTGAAGAGAAAAATTCTATCACTAAACTGAGCAATGGAATAACAGAAAGGATTCCAAGGAAGCACACCTTAAGGAACATATAAATTAGCACCAAAGAAAGGAAACACAAATCCTATCAAAAACAGGAAACACATCACAAACAGAAGCATTCACGCGTGCTCAGTTGTGCTCACCGGCCAGCCAGGGAAGGTTCCGTTTTCCCACTTCTTCTCAAACTCAGTCTGAATTTTCCCAAAAAGCTCATTCTGGTCCAGCAATGGTTTCACACGATCAGTGTACTCCTGCAGGTACTCGAGAAGCATTTCAAGGTACCTAACAGGGCAACCACAAGCACGATGTCAAAATCTAGCATTTTCCTCTAATCACATCTTCAGAGCGCAATTGCATCTGCTACACCAGAAAGACAGAAGGTTTTGACAGTTTTTAATGTGATTTCTAGATACAACAGCGACATGGCAACAAGGCTCACCTCTTATATTCAGCATTTTTTCTCTCTTTGGGAATATCGAAGAGTTGGTCAAATGTGGATAAGTAAGTGATATAATCAAGTTTCTAAAAATAATTAAAAAAAAGAAAAAAGTCAGACCTTAACATTCAGTTTTTACTTATCATGCCAGGAAAAAAACAAAACAAAACAAAAAAACCACCACCTCATACCATTATTCTGGAGCACACATGGCCAGTGGTCTCTAGGTGCTTTCTATATGTATATTTTTATATCTATATCTCTATATATTTTTTCTAGTATATATTATTATATATTGCCTCAGACACCAATCTAGTACCAGAAGAAAGTATTTTTACATGGCCATCACCAATATCAACGTCAGAGAGAAAGTATAAATTAAAGAAGAACCACAAAGAGGCATTCAGAATTCAAATGCCACAAACTGTAGGTGCCACAAAGTGACTTGGAAATAATAATCTGGAAATAAACTACTCAATGTAAAACAAACAATAAAACAAAACTCCACAGCTCTAAGTGCTGTGGAATGGAACACTTGTTATGTCCCCAAACTCATACAGCCACCTACCTCTGACGACTTCAGATTAATGTATTTGAGATAACAATCGTGCAGATCTAGGTATCGTCCGTACCCTTCCTCATCTGTGAACTCCACCAGATCTGTGGACGAGATTATGAAGAGCTTTATTATGAGCTTAAGCTTCCTGGCTTAGAACCCACGTGCCCCAGAATGTGGAAAGGATTAATTATGGATTCTTTTATGCTTAAGCAAGATACCTGGCTGCTTTGCTATGTTAACACATCCCAACACTTCCCAAGAGAGGCAGCACTGCTGTGGAATATTCCTGGCTGGAATTCCACCGATTTGGGAGGAATTAGATGAAATAAGAACAATTTTTGGAAGCATTTTGGTAAAAGGGGTAAAATTCTGAAACACACCAGACTGCTCACATGGCTGATTAAATAACTCCTCTCAAGCAAGCCCCACGTTTTTACTCAAATCAGCCCCAGAACAGAACTACAGACTTACTCTGCGCCTCTTCACTTGGGTTGTCTTTGGCCTTCAGCAGTTCCTCAAATTCCAGTGACATTGGAATACAGATCTTCAAAGACAGGCAGAAGTTTCAGAGACAACATTACTTCAAACAAATTTCCCGGGATAATCGATACGAAATCTCAGCAGGGAATGTAACAACTGGAAAGTTAGCCAGCACAGTCTGAGATCACCTTGTTCCAAATCCTAGCTGCTTATACCGTGCAGGGAAAAAGACCCCAACAATCCCAGCTCCCTGCTGATTCTGGGCACTTGGTTCCTCTCGGATACTGCTGGCTCGTGCCCCAGCCCACCCCACCTGCACATATCCGTGCTGTGCAGCTGAGTTTGCTGCATAGCAGAGGGCAACTCTCCTTGCTAGAGGGGGCAGAGACGCCAACGAGGTGTCCGAGCTCCACGCGGAGATGGGAGGGACAGAACAGCAGAACACAGAGAGGTTCTTTGCTGTCCCACATCTACTAAACTTAAGGCAGAGTACAGAGGAGAGGCCCTGAGCTCATCAATACCAGTAAGGTCAGAACTTCCTCAGCATTGCTTTTACGCAAAGAAGAAAAGATGCCACCCGATAATCCAATGGTGGTCAGGGAGAGAATGACCTGACTGAACAGCTTGTGGGCACGAAGCCCCGCAGAGCACAAGTCACCCATTCCTCCAGAGCAGACAGCTTCTTACCTCATTTGGGTGCTTTCGATGAAACTCCTTAATCTGCTTTAGCCTGTTGTAGAATTCTGCAAACTCGTTTGGCCCTGAAATGGCACTGAGTTCCTCCTTTCGCAAGCTGTGAGTTCACGGGAGAGAGACGCCAAGTGGCAGCAAGGCCCCCTCCGCTCCGCTCCATCCCTCCCCCGAGCGCGGGGCTGCCCTTGGGCGGCCCCAGGACGGACACGGGGCAGCAGACACCCGGGAAGCTGCGGAGCCGCTTCGGGGCTCCGGCTCGGCGTTCCTCGGGGACGCTAAGGGCCCCGTCACGGTGACCCCCGGCGGGCCCCGGGCCCCGCACTCACCCGTCCTTGTCGTCGTAGAGGTCGCGCAGGTTGCCGCTCACCTCCATGTACCTCTGCGGGACAGAGCGGGCGGCGTGAGGCGCGGCCGGCCCCCCCGCGCCCCCCCCGGCGCCCCGCACTCACGTCCTGCATCGCCCGGGTCCGGTGGTCCGAGTTGATCTGGTCGCGGAGCTGCGGGGGAAGGAGCGCGGTGAGCGCCGACCAGGCCCCGGCCCCGGCCCCGCGCGCGCCCCGGCCCCGCGCGCGCCCCGGCCCCGCGCGCCCCCCGCACCGTGGACTTCTTGGTGAGCATCTCCTTGACCATGACGTCCATGAGCCGCTCGCGCTCCTCGTGGTAGCGCCGCTGCTGCTCCAGGATCGTCTCCATCGCCCCGCGCCGCCTGCGGAAACCGCCGCCGCTCGCGCCGCCCTTCCGGTGTCCCCCGCGCGCGCGGCGCCCGCGCCAAGGTTCCGCCGCGCGGGAAGGTTCCGGCTTCGCGGCGCACGCGGGGGGGCTGCTCGGGCACTTCCGGGCGGGGGGGGGGGGCACCGCGCCGGGGCCATGGGGGGGGCCGCTCCCGGGTCCCCCGCCCCGCGGTGTCCGGGTGACGTCACCCCCGGGATGCAATCCAGATGTTCCCCGCGGCCGCTCGCCTTTTTTGGCTAAAAGCGAGCGGCTCCGGGGCCGCCCGCGGGAGCTGCTCCCGGGCCGCTGCAGAGCCCCGGGCAGCGGCTCGGCCGCCTCCGCCCCCGCGGGAGCCGGGCCGGGGCTCGCGGAGCGGCGGAGAAGGCCGAGGAGGCTGTGGAAAACTTTGGGGAAGGACCCTGCGGATCAGGGAGCAGCAGGAGCGGGGCTGCAGCGGAGCCGCCACAGCAGCCTCGGGAGCAGGGACACGTCCTGCTCCGGGGACATTCCCGGTCCGGATACGTCCTGCTCCCGGGGACATTCCCGCTCCCGGGACACGTCCTGCTCCCGGGGACATTCCCGCTCCCGGGACACGGTCCTGCCCCAGGGATATTCCTGCTCCAGACACTGTCCTGCTCTGGGAGCATTCCTGCTCCTGGGACACCGTCCTGCCCCAGGGATATTCCTGCTCCGGACACGTCCTGCTCCCGGGGACATTCCCGCTCCTGGGACACCGTCTTGCCCCAGGGATATTCCTGCTCCCGGGACCCAATTGCGCAGCGCAGGAGCAGCCAGGGCTGGGAAGGGGAGTGAGGACCGCGAGCGGAGCCGCCCCGGCCTCCGCTCAAGGCCGAGCCCAACACGGGGCTGCAGGAGCCGGCGAGCACGAGACACACACGAGAGCAAGTCTCACTAAAACAGTTTATTATATAAAGCCTTAGGAAACAAAGAGGAGGCTGAGGCTGGGGACACTTCCTTCTGCAGACTGTTCCAAGCTCCTCGGAATAGCAAACACCAACTCCGATTCGCCTGCATCAAAGCTCTCGAATGAGGGTTCAGTGAGGATCTGAGTACAGAATTAACAACGCTTCAGCATGCAGAACATTCCCCACTCTTAAGTGAAGCCTGCGACAGGGGGCTAGCCCCTTCATCCTGTGCTCTGGTACAAAATGTCACATATCCACGACAAGGGAGTATACAAAAGGGGAAAAAAATACCAAGGAGGTGTGTTGAGAAAAGCACGTGGCCGAGCGGGAAAGCGGGGCTGGCACAAGCGCCCCGGGCAGGACAGAGCAGAGGCGACGGAGCGGCCAGGCAGGCACTAGCTCCCGGAGAGCCCGGAGCAAGGCGGGAAGCAGCCCTGGCCTGGGCGCTCAGCGGCCTGGGAGCTGTTCTGCACGGCTAGGGCCACAGCACGGGCGGCTTCGGGGATGCAAAGCTCCTGCCCCGGCAACCCACACGCCCCCCTGGATCTGCCTCTTTTTTTTTGAGGGGGCACAGTGGGAATGAGCAGGGCTGGGGAGCCCCCGACTCTGCCGGTCACCCTGGTGGGGACACTCAGCCCTGGCAGGAGGGACATGCTGGTGCAGACAGGACATGGAGCAACAGGAAGGTGGCTGGGCTGGAGCGCTCGCATTCCAGAGCATTTCCATGGCACCACGTGGAGCAGAGGGTCTGGATTCGGGAAAGGGGAGGGGGCTGGAGCAGCTGGGGCTGCTCTGCACGTGGCCCGATGCGCCCTGCACAAGCTGCACAGTCCGGGGGCTGCTGCCTTGATCACTCGGAGCAAAGGGAACACGCAGGAAAGAGGGACAAATCAGCACTGTGCAAGAGAGGGGCGGCCACGCGGTGCCAGCGCACGGGCCCTTTGGCACTAGCTGGGCACGGGGCCCCCAGCTGAGCAATCAGACAGGAAGCAGAAAGAAAGACTAAATAATGGGAGACCCGAAAGCTCCCTTTTCACTTTTATGTAGCTCTGGCTCTGCGCGGAGCCTTAGCATAGCATACTGTAGCCTTCATGGAGGGACACAGGAACCTCCGGGACACACCGCGGCGCGGGGTCAGCCCTCATCTCCTGCGCCTTGTGCTCTGCCCTTGAAATGCTGTTGGGGGTATTTGGCACAAAGACCCTGAAGAGTAGAGAAAGCCCCTGCCCCACGGCATCCTTGGAGGCTCATAGGTCGCTGCTGCAGTCGCGGCAGAGGATCTCGTCGTTGTCAGGGATAAAGCCCTGCCCAACCAGCGAGGTCTTGCAGCGGGCACAGTTAAAGCAGTTATGGTGCCAGTGACGGTCCTCGAAGGAGACATATTTCCCACCACCAAAACCTGCAGGAGGGACAGAGCACAAGGTTAGAGCTGCTGGAGAAACTAGGACAAGCTTCTCGCACACAAATGAGCCTTGGTCTGCTTTTCTCTGAGGTTTTTCCTTATGTACATCCCTGCACTGCAGCAGCAAACACCCCATGGTTGTGGATGGATCTGACATGGGCGTCCCTGCTCTAGGTGGGCACGAGGAGGAACAAAACCCCTTTGCACAGGATTTGTGTGAGGTGGAGATCCTGGATCAGATCCGTCGTTTCCTCCCCAGTGAGGAGCCCAGAGCAGAGCTGCACTGTCACTTGGACTGACTGCGCCACATGGGGTGGCAGCAGCTGCCAGCAGGGACAGCTGGAGCAGTCCCCTCAAGGCAGATGTTAATGAAACTGGGGACAAGCTCTCCTGCCCTCAGCCATGGCCAGGCTCCCACAGAGGCCTCGGGGCAGCTTCCCTCCCAGTCTGGGCCGCCGGCTCACACGTGAGCTCCCGAGGGCAGTTTCACTCAAAGAAGTCACCTCCCAGCTGGGAGCAGGGCGGGCAAAGTTCCCTCTTGCTCGCAGGGAAGCACCCGTAGGGTCACGCTGCATGCTCACCTGTGATGGGCTTCGTGCAGGCGCTGCACTTCTTGGCATAGAGGTTCCCAAAGCACTTAATGCAGTAGGGGTTGTCGTCCTGGGAGGTGAACTGCTGGCCAGCCAGGGGCGTCTTGCAGCCCGTGCAGACGAAACACTCCTTGTGCCAGGGCTCGTCGCGGTAGGTCACTCCTCCCTTGGTCAGGGACTGCAGGAGGAGAGAGCACATGGGTGACATACAAACACACGGGTGACACGTGGGTGACACACACACACGGGTGACACGCAGCACCGCAGGGAGCTGGTGGTCAGCGTGGCCCTGGGAGTGCTCTGCTCTCCCTTTCCAGCTGAGATGCGGGGCAGAGCAATGCAGGAACCAACTCCCAGCCCGTTTACAGCAGCCTTTCCCGGCAGAAGGAGGGAACACATCCTGGAGTGGAGCCCTCGGCACCTTTGGGCTGCCAGGCCGTACCTACCTTTTTGCAACGCGTACAGCGAGGAGCAAACTTGCTCTCGTAACAGGGGACACAGTAGTAATCCTTCTTGTCCGGGATGAAGGATCGTGACCCGATGGGCTGCTGGCAGCTGCTGCATATGAAGCAGTGTTCATGCCAGGTTTGCCCGTTGTACTCCAGCTTGCGGGATCCTGTGGAGAAAGCCGTTCCCAGTGTGACACGAGGGCACAAATCACCCGCCTAGGTCATAAGGAGACAGTGTAGGGCACCCCACAGTGCTGCACACCAGGCTTTTCACCCACCCAGCCACAAGTGACAGAGTGGCGCGTGGGCACCGCAACTTGGACAAGTGCAGCGCGGTGCCACATGCCCCTACCTGGCATGACGGTCTTCTCGCAGGCAACGCACTTGGAGGAGAACTCGCTGCAGTAGCAGTCGTTGCACAGCAGCTCCTCACCCTGGCAGGTGAAGGGCTCGTCGGCCAGCGAGCGGTCGCAGCGGAAGCAGCGGAAGCAGTGCTCGTGGTAGTGGCGGTCCTCGTAGTACAGCTCCTGGGAAAGGCAGCGGGAGATGAGGAGCACAGCCACTCAACGGGCTTGGTGATGGGCTCGCTGGCCCAGAGCCCTGTACTCACCCTGCAGTCGTGGCCGATGAGCTCTTTGCACTCATCACAAGTGTTGGCAAAGTGGGCATCGTAGCAGGGGATGCAGTATGGGCCGTTGTCCATCTGGATGTACTTGCGCCCATACAAGGACTCCTTGCAGTTGTCGCAGTCAAAGCACTCTGTCATGGTGCCAGCTTGAGGGCCTCCTTCGCCTGCTGAGAGATCAACGGAGATGCCGGGTCAGGACGGGCTGTCCCTGCACAGCCCTGCCACCTCCCGGCAAGGTCTCCGTGTCCCTGCCAAGGATGGCACCCTATGGAGCCGGGCCACTCAGCGGCCACCATCAGCACAGGACGGGGACCCAAGCAGCAGCGCCTGTTCCTGGGCTGCACATGGTTCCAGAGACTGCTCTGTGAACCGGGGCTGGGATGAGTCTCCAGATTTGTGTTGGAGTGCAGTGATGGAGCACCAAGAGCGTGTGCAGAAGCAGGTTCTTTCCTCCAAAAAGAGGGAAAAAAACCCCACCTTTCTGTGTGAAAAGTTTTGATCTGTACCCAGAACAGATCCACACGGGTGCGCGCACCCTGTGGCACGGGAGGGACAGCCACCTTGGGGCGATGAGCGTGACCATAAGCCCTTCCCAAAGCCAAGCTCAGCTGCCCCCACCCATGGCCCAAATGTCCCTGGCACTGTGTTAGCCAGAGCTCCGCCACGTCTGTTCGGCAGCATCTCAAATCCTGGAACCTCTCCAGAACTTTAGGGCAGCTGCTCCAAAGGGAAGCAGAAACTGGGAGCCTACTGGGAGCTCTGCCCAGCTACGAAGCTGCATCCCGGCAAATCTCTGCGTGTGGAGCTCCAGCTACCAACATTCCCAAGGGAGAAAGGCTGGGGGAGGGTTTGTGCTTTCCATACAGCAGAGTGCTTGGGTTCTGCATGCAGGCTCACTGCCCCATCTCCTGCAAGGCAGGAGGCTTGGGGAGACAGCCCAGACAAACCGTTTCACTTTGTCTCGAATGTTAACTCGGGAACAAAAGTATCCTCCTTCTGTTCTGCTTATTCCTAAATATGGAATTCTTCACTTGTAAATCACACCCTTTTTAATACCACCTTGCTGTCAAGTGCAGACAAGCCCACAGAATTGCATGGAAGCAGCCGGCCGCGGAGCGCCGCACTCCGCAGTTTTCCTTGCGAAACCACCTGCTTCAGCAAGGGCTTCTGTGGCACAACCCGCAGCCACGCAGCTCGGTGCCACCCGCTGCCCACGGTGCCCATGCCCGTGGCCCTCACCCGCCCTGTGGCCCCCGGAGCTATTCCAGCTGCTGGGAGGCCTGGCCTTGCAGAGATAGGGCTGCTGGTGACTAATGCAGCGCTCCCGCACGGATACGCGAGCAACAGGCCGGGAACAAAGTCCCTTTTCAGACCATCCCGTTTCTCGGCTGCCTCCCTGCAGCCCCCGCCTGCCTCCCCAGCAGCCTCGCGGTGGGCGAGGGCGGCCCAGGAGGGTCCCGAGGCCGGAGGGTGGCTGCTCCGAACCAAGGGCCGGGCTCCCGCTGGACTCCAGCTGGTGCCAAGCGCCAGGACCAGGATGGAGGTGCCCGTGCCGCACGCCCAGCTCCCTCCCCTGCCTTTCCCAGGGCCCTCCACGACCTTCCTCTTTGCACAGAGAGAAAACAAATCAAAACCCTCCTCCTCCCACCCTGCTGGGAGAGGAACTTTCCAAGGTGTGTCCGCAATAAAACGGCCTCCAGAAAGCGCTCGTGCTCGGCAGCTGTGACACTGCCCGAGCCGAGCCCCCTTCACCCCCGGCCCTGCAACACCAGGTCAGAGAATGCCCGAAGACACGAAAGGAGGAAAAACCCGGATGGGAGAAGCCCTGGCTGCTCCTGGTGCCACAGACTCAGCTCTCACCCCGTTCACCTTCCTGTCGGCGGCCACCCCTTCTCCTTCCACGGGCACCGCGGCGCTTGCCGGAGCACTGCTGTGAATCCCAGCACCGGCGCCAGCACCACGAACATGGGCCACTGCGGATGGCAAGTGGCAACCACGTGGTGCCCGGTGCCGCCCTTACCAGCGCCCACCTTGGCCACGCAGAGCCCTGGGAGAGCATGCAGGATTCGAGCCACGCTTCCTCCTCCAGGGAATAAGGAGCAGACCCAGGAAGTTTGCTCGGGGGTATTTGCATTAGATAAGCTGCGAGGAAGGGATCTGCGTGCTCTTTGTTCTGGGCTGCGGGCGGGCGTGCTGGGAAGGGGTGTTAAAGCCCTGAGCAATGCCAAAGCAAACACCGCATCCTCAGCCCCAAGGCCCCGGCCCTGCTGGAGACCAAGTTCATGGAGAAGAGGAAGGTGAGACCAAACAAACGGAGCAGAAAATAGCACAAGAGCCCGTGATTCCTACTGCAATTATCATGAGGGACTTGGAAATTGTCTCTATTCCTGGTGGAAAGAGGTAGATTTAAAAAAAATGTATATTAGAAAACCAAATGAAAACTGTTATTGAGACCCCGACTTAGAAGAGTTAGCGCAGGCGTTACCTGCGGGCTAAGAGCGCGCTCCCGTAGCCTGCACCACCCTGTGCGGCTAAGCCAACAGCAATGCCTCCGCTTCCCGCCCGACGTGCTGCCCCACACGTCAGGGTTTGCAGGGAGATACTGGGCTCGCAGGGCCGCCGCTCCGAGCCCTTCCGCAGGCTCTTGGTGGCGGGCAGCGGTGCCACCCCGGCGGCTCCCACCGGGCCGGGCTGCTGGGCACAAAGCGCCTTCCTTTCTGCTGCTTTAGGGGCTTGCAGGACAAAACACGGGCCCTGAGCTGGCACCGTGCAGCCCCAGGGTCCTCTCAGGTGTCTCGCTGCCCGCTTGAGAGGAAAAATAAATAACACAGCCCAGGCGTGCCAGCTGGCTGCCCTTTGCTAACAGATAGACTTTTCTGCATGGAGAAAAGCCCAGTTGCCCTCCTGTGCCCAAGCACACCCAGCTCGGGAACGGGAGCTCCTCACAAGCCTGTGGGGTGCCCTGGGATTCAGCCCTGGTGAGTCCAAAGCGAGCTGAGAATAGCTGTGTGCGTGGGGAAGGGAGCCGCCACCACGGACGGGCAGCTGAGCCCCCTTCCCGTCGGAGCACAGCACTCGGAGCACGGCACTGCCCACGGCCCCGGCGCGGCGGCAGCCCCGGGCAGCGTCACCCCAGTGCCAGTGTCTGCAAACCGGGCGCCTGCCAGGCCAGGGCAGGGCAAAGCCTGTCTAGGGCCGGGCTCTCCATGGGATGCCACCGCTCAGGAGGCTCAGCCACCTTTGGAGGCCCCACAGGCAGCTCCTCTGGCCAGAGCCCTCATGTATATGGTGCCGGGCAGCCCGCTGTAACTTCACACCGGCCTCTTGTTCGCTGCCCGCTCACAAGCAGCTGCTCGACAGAGCGCTCCCGGAGCAGCCCGTGCGGCTATTCCCAGGAGACGGCTTCATCGCTGCAGGACGCAGGAACAGGCCTGCCCCGGCCGCCGTGTCAGGCTCGTGCCTGTTCACAGCCTGCCGGGCCGCCGCTTGTTCCTAAGCGAGCTGCGGAGGCAGCCTCCCCATGTAAGGACGAGGCCGGCCGGGCACGAGGCTTTGCAGGAAGCCTCTCGGAGCGCTCCAGGGTCAGGAGAGGAGAACAACACTTCTCGTTCCCTGTTGGCTTTCCAGGCTCATTAGAGCTCCTGGAATCCGCGTGAAATTGCTGCCTGCGGCCGACCCTAAAAGGGAAACCAGCTGCTGCCCGCCGGGCGCGAGGAGCGGCCTCTCCGTCCCCGTGTCCCCGGCGCTGCTCGGGCTGGCAGCCGCCCCAGCCGGGAGCGCCACGAGCTCCCGAGCGCCCTTGGACCAGGTCGCCGGCACCCCAAGGAGCGGAGGCCCTGAGGAGGCCCCATGCAGCCCCACGGAGTGGAGGCTGTGAGGAATGGAGGCCCCGAAGCCCCACCGGCTCCATGGAGGCCCCACAGCTCCCGCCTGGTGCAGGCAGGGCCGGAGGGCGGCTGGGCTCGAGGAGGACAAAACAATTCAGCGCTTGCTGCAGCCTCATGTTCTTCAGGGAAGCTAATTCTTACAGGGCCAGGAAAAGCCTATATTGTGCCACCGTAAAATGAAAAACTTCACCTAGAAAGCCCAGATAGCAACAATTTAGAGTTAAAATGCACTAAGCCCTAAGGATTGCCAAATAATTTCAGGTTATAAACAGAATTCTCCCTCTCCAGAGGGCAATCTTGGACAGACAGCACAGCAACCCAGGCAGAGCTGGCAGGATGCACCCCCACGGCTCCCCACGTGAAAACTGAATGCTTGCTCAAGAGATCAGCTGTTAATCTTATTTTTAAAAATGCATACAAAATTAGTTAAGCCAGCAGGTCTAAGCACATTCTTTGTATTCAAGAGGAAGTCAGGAATTGAAAACATTTGGGCATTTGGATGTGTCCTGGTTCAAACAGAGCTGAAGGAGGGAGCCCAGGCACAGAGGAACAAGACACAAACACGTCAGAAACTGCCCCCAGCCTTTGGGAGAAATAAACTTCCCAGCACGGCTAGAACCCTCCGGCTTGGGACTGCCGGGAATGACTGGTACCAAGCTCATCTGCTGGCAGGGATGGAGGAGCTTTGGGATTGAGAGGCCCCGGGGAGCCCAGCACTGTCCTAAAGGAGCCCCCCTTGCCACGCGCAGCCCCCGCTGAGCCCAAGGGGCTGCCCGGATCGCTGCTTTGGAGCAGGTTTGCGGAGGGGACGCGCAGCAGCTGCAGCCACGGCCGGGGCAACCATAATAGGAAGCAAGGGCCGGGCGCGGAGCTGCAGCGAGCGGGACGGCGCCCGGGAGCCCCGGGACAGCGCCCGGGAGCCCAGGCTGTTCCCATCGCCTCTGAGACAGGAGCCGAGAGCAGGCGCGAAACCGCTCGCCCGGTTTCTCCTGTGCCCCGCGAGTCACCCCCTTTCAGGGAGAAGAGTGGGCTCCCGTTTAACTACGGTAACGGTGATGTCTAAAAATAAATAAATAAATAAATAAATAACATAGATCTCCTGGGCATTTTTCCCCTCCAGGGACATGTGCTTCTTCTATAAAAGGTGAATTGTGCCTTGCTGTCTCTTTCCCGAAGCGAGGTTCCCTGGCACAGAGCGCTCCACGCTGCGGTGCTAACTCTGGCCGCTGTGCATCGGGTTTGCTCTCAGAGGGCTCCCCCTCGCTGAAGCTTATCTGTTCCTGGTAAAAAGCAAAGTAAAAAGCAAT